CTACTTTTTTTTGGCCTAGTATACTACACGGCCTTGCGGCCCTTGCCTCTCCCCCTCCAGTTCTCACAGGACACCTAAAGCAATGAAAAACTGATGACAAAACGGACGCCTTGCCCTAAAAGGTGGGATGCATCATCCCACCCTCCATATCAAACACTGTCGACAGTTACTAGAGGTCCCACACTGACAGAGCTATACTATACCGGTCCCTTCCTGTCAGAACTATACTGTCCCGATGGCATGTGGGCCTAGGGCCACAAGGCCCCGGGTTTCGGACTTAGGTCTGCAATTCAATAACTCAGGGGTGTACCAACTGAGGCCCCATTGGTTGGTCGGATGGTTAATCCAGTCCAGCAAAGCCCCGCGGTAGAACAGCCTATCGAAAACAAAACAAAAAACAAAACAAACAAACAAAAAGAACTGAAAACAAAAATATAAACATCTTATAGGACTCCAACGAAATCAACTTTTTGCCGAGGGTAAGCTTACATGGCAAAGCTGGTGAAGGGAGGGAAACGAAAAAAAGAAAAACGTTGATGGACAAAGCATAGAGCGGCAGGAGAACAAAAACAAAAACAAAAACAAAACTACTAGAATTGGATACTAAACGAGATAGAAGATCATAGAACAATAAACACGGAGATCGGAGCAATGAGGGCATAAGGGCCTCGCCACAACCAGTGGCGAAAACCCGTTTTTCACCAGTTCGGCGTCGCCACACAGACTGGCGAACGGGGAAGTGTCAGAAACCACTCGCCAACTGTCAGAGCGGGCGGTTCGCCAGCTGCTGTCGAGTACTGGTTTCGCCCAGCCTGCAGCGAGCGGATTCTCGATAGGTCCTTCGCGGGCTATCGGATGTGAACACTTTATTGCCACCTGTCAGGGTCGTGGCGCTGACGGCCTCGTTCCTGACAGTGGCACCATTTCACTAGTTGGTGTCGACCGCCACCAGTGGTACGAACGCGTTCCCGGGCATTCCACGGGCTGTCGCTATCAACCCGTAACAAATGCCGACAGTGCCCCCCTTCGCCACACAGCACTGTCGAAACCGGTGCCTGCTCAAGGCCGTCTCTACCGCCCACCGTCGCTATCAACCCATAACAACTGCCGACAGTGCCCCCCTTCGCCACGCAGCACAGTCAAAACCGGTGCCTGCTCAAGGCCGTCTCTACCGACCACCAGTTTCAACAGTGCTGTGTGGCGAAGGGGGTGGAGGATTGGCGAAAAATGGTATGGCCAAAAATGTCTGACAATTGGTGAAAAAGAGAGGTTCTCGACACTGGTGTGGCGAGGCCCTAAGACATTTCCAACTTCGCTTCGCACTTGATTGCAGTCATGTGCGTCCAGACCTGACCAGAAAAGTGATCAGATACATCCCCAATACAGCCCCCTCATGTGGGTATCCCCTCAACAAGGGGCGGGGAGGAGAACTCCAATGCGTACAAAGGCAAGCACAGATGAGCAGAAAACTAGCGAAGTAGGGGCTAGAGAGGACTCGAACACACGAAAAGAAAACGAAAAAAAAGAACGGAAAATTGCATCTGTACCCCACTTAAAGACGGGAATACCCGCTACACCCCGTCCTTGTGCGAATTCGCATTCGTACCCGGACGGCGTTCAACTTTGCATAGAACCCAGCTTTTCCCCTGTGCGAAATTGTTGGTATACCCAATCCGGCAGGCCCAAGATTCAGAGCACGCAATTTTTCTCATGCCCACCAAGTAGACCCTTGTGGCCCACAGGGTGCTGGGTATGAGCATAATTTCTGCATTCCGGTAGCAGGGTATACAAACAATTTGGCCTCTCCTCCTCAAGTCCCGGGTATGCCCATAATTTTGCCTGGGTAGGTCCATAATTTGTGCATTTCGGTAGTTGGTTACAACCGCAATTTTGCGGTGCCAACCTGGGTCCACCTCGGCCCTGGGCATGCAAACAATTTGCCAGCAGATGTTTTCTGGGTATAGACACAAGTTGGTGCTGGGACTGGGTATAGCCTGTATTCCCGTCTTTAAGTGGGGTACAGATGCCCCCCAAAATTAAGATAATGCAGTAGAATCACCATCAGCAACCTTCACTGGACAGTGAGCTCGCCGAGATAAGCACATACAATATTATGCAAGCGCTTGGCGAACCTTACTACATTAAGTAAGCGCATGGCGAACCAAGTAAGCACACACTCATATTAGTTAAGCACACACCCATATTAGGTAACCGCATGCTCATGATAAAACCCCGATGATTTGATGGCGGGATCAACTAACTCAGAGAATGCGCTTATCTAACTCAAGAGTATACAATTATCAAGATCGAGAATATGTGCTCGTCTGCCTCACCTAACTCACGAGTATGCGCTCACCTAACTGTATGCGCTTATCTAGCTCAAGAGTCTGCGCCTTGCTAACTCAAGAGTATGCACTCCCCTAACTCGAGCGTACGCGCTCACCTAACTCAAGATTACACGCTCCCTTAACTCAGAGTATGCACTCACCTAAGTGCTCACATAACTGAAGAGTACGCGCCCACAATACTGAAGAGTACGCGCCTGCAATACTGAAGAGTACGCGCCCGCAATACTGAAGAGTACGCGCTCACATAACCCAAGAGTACGCGCTCACATAACTCAAGACTACGCACTCACATAACTCAAGAGTACGCACTCACATAACTCAAGAGTACGCACTCACATAACTCAAGAGTACGCACTCACATAACTCAAGCAAGTACGCACATCATATAACCCAAGAGCACATGCTCACATAACTCAGTACGCGCTCACGGACCTCAAGACTGATGGCTTATATAAGCCAGTAGTAAAGGCTTATATATCTCAAGAGTATGCGCTGACCGAACTCGACAGTATCCGCTTATCTAACTCAAGAGTACACTTTTACCTAATTCAAGGGTAGAAAACTTGATGGGCTTATCAAGTGCTCGCAGATGACTTTGATACTGTGAGTAGTAGTGCTGTTAGCGTGCCTTGAAAAGATAGACAACTATATGAGCAGGGTACGCCGTGAATAACCATTAGCAAAAAAAGAGAAACAACGTCAACAGCCGACGGATCATTGTAAAACATGTCGCCGCTTTGTGCAGGCGTTGCCAACCATTCCACCCTTCTACAACCCCTACTTCCAGCTCTACCATGTCCAGCCGAGTGCAGGTTCAGCAGGTTCAACAACAGGGGCAAATGATGGCCGTGAGCTTTCAGCTGCTTTCTCCCCCCCACACTCGACATCACACAACAGATCAAATTACACTAGAAGCAAATCCACACAACAGTCAAAAATCCTCTTCCTCCCATCCTTATCCACTCCGTACGCACACACTTAATAGAATCCATGCAACTGTAAAAGACAGTAGATCCGCAGATAAATTTATGCCAAACGGACCCTCTCTCTCTCTCTCTCTCTCTCTCTCTCTCTCTCTCTCTCTCTCTCTCTCTCTCTCTTGTCTAGGCCTCATCATGGGCAGCAGCTTCACCCTCAGCCTGCCACAAATCATGTGTGACAGTGTTGATGAAGGTCTTCAGAGACTCGACATCGCGAGCGCCGGTGTATCGCCTGAACTCTTTCCCGTTATGGAAAACCTTGAGTGTGGGGTATCCCCTAATCTCGTGCTTGGTGCAGACTTCCGTGCTCGTCGTACAGTCGACATGGGCAATCCGCCACGTGTCATCTCCCGCCATGGTCTCAGCCAGCTCCTCCCAGGCCGGCACCAATCTCTTACAATGCCCACACCATGGGGCGAAGAACTTAATGAACCAAATTTTGCCATCCTCCTTCACATGCTCGTTGAAGTCGGCATTGCTCAGCTTTATGGGCTCCGCATCCACGGTCGTGGTCGTCCAGCTAAGTGCTGACGTGGTGATCAATGCGAGAAACAAAAGCCCGGTGGGGTTCGCCATCGCCAAACAGGGATAGACAATCTCAAGAAACAGGTAGCAAAGCGAGACCGGACCGGAGACCGAACCTCCGAAATGTTACTGAGGCTGATACCAGCACGCAGGGAACCAAGCAATCACGAAGAACAGGACACCAACACAACAAGCATTAGACATGGTTAAAAAAAAAAAAAAAAAAAAGCAATCACACGCTGTGCTCCACTCGACCACGGAGCAACGACTGGGTGCCGCCACCGCCGCTACCGTTGTCTCACCGTTACCGCGGTCCGAGGTCGTCGTTTTCATTCATGTGCGCAGCAGCCAAACTCTCCACAAAGCCAGCCCGTGTATCTGGACAAATTCGAGTTACTGATACAGGTGGTTTCAAAGGCATACTGGGGTTCAAAGAGAAAAGATAAGAAGAAAAAAAAAAGAGCCCACAAACATTTTCTGCTCAAGAATGACACGAGAGCTGTCAGATACATCCCAGTCAGGCTGCTTCCCATGCTTGTCTCAGTGTACTAACCTCAAAGGAACATATAGCCCAAAATGGGCAAAGATTCATGGAGCAAAAGACAAAAAAAAAAACATCTCCCCTTTCAGAAAGGCTGGCACCCCGTGAAAACGGGCGCCTGTCTCTCTTTTGGGCTCGTAGTCCCCACTTGTTTGCTGTCAGTGCAGCAGTAACTTGTAGCAGGCCGCTTGCCCCAACAGGCATTCCCCTGGATGTTTAACCTGCTTTCGATAGTAGGTACGTGCACCCAAGTCCCACTGTGAGTGTGCCCTGAGAGAAACGGGCTACCAGAGACTTCGGGAGAACGAACAGATACTAAGCAGATTCAAGATGGGCCGCTACATCTTGAATCTAGAGGCTGAGACAATTCGACAGTGGAAGACTTAACACTGACTTAGTATCATGTTCTATTTGTTTGTCCAAAAAAAAAAAAGAAACAAACGTTCCAAGTGTTAGTTAGACCTGGATCCCACTGCTCGGCGGCTGGAAACAGATGCTGGCCCACAAAAAACGGTCAAGCGTGGTTGGAAAAAACTTGCCGCGTTTCGTTGGGACCCCACCGCCACCCTTGACTCTCGGCATTGGGAACGGATGGACATGCCCGAATACAAAATCCCCCCAGGGTGTTTCCCGAAAAGGCAAGTCGGGTCGGGGCCGTGGTCCATGGCCTTCTATCGGCCCGCACCAGAACAATGTCCGTGTGTCGCCGTGCGCGACCCGGAGCATCGGCGGATGTCTCCCCCCTCCTATCAAACACCCGCGGACGCGTCCGCGGGGCCGAGCTCTGAGGGCGGACGTATTCATGGCCGCCTCCGCGGCCTACCGGGTCCGCGCCGCGGACACCAGATTTTTCCTGAATTAAATAACAGGCCAAAAAAAAAAAAAAGGGG